TATAGCGCGACTGTGGAAATTAAGTGTATTGCAAAGTTGTATTCAGAAAGAATAAACCAGTTTTATTTAAGAAAGGACTTGTATCGCTAAAGTTTCTTCGGAAAGAATTTTTACGGAAAATTAACTAACGACTGGAGACGTAACAATATACTAACATGCAGAAATATACAATTATAATGCAAGAACATTTAAAAAGAGTTATTCGCATGTTCAGCGGAAGAAAAATGTCAGCCGAAATTTATTATGGCTTCTGTTAAATACATATACATAATAAAAAATACTCACGACAAACCTGGTAAAGTCTCCGTGAAAAGTATTTATCAAAAATGCCAACCCCAGCCCTGTCTTAGATATTTAAAAAAAACTGAAGTACCTTACACAAACACAAGCAAACAAAAACAGTGACTTGTGCTTGTTAGATCAGTGAAAATCAAAGGCGACACCATTCACAAATATTATCCGATTCGCCGACAAACAAAACACGGCTCACTAATTGAAAACAACTTTATTATTCCTGCAAATGAATTGAATCAAATTAACAGTCTTTTAATTTTTATTTACAAAATTTGTAGTGCATTACTAGAGGGATTTACACATTTTGATAAAATGTTTAGAAAAAAAACGACCTTTACACTCCGGATACATATCAAAATAATAATCATTTTTACTTAACTTAGTACGCCCATTAAGGAAAATTAGTACCTCATTTGCGCACCGTTGTGTTACATCCGGGGAACTATGAAAAAACAACATAATTTTGAAAACATTTTAAATAAAGAAGTGTAAAAATATTTAGTCCGTATTTGTATGACAACAATATACTGAAGTTCTTGTTCACGGCCAACAATATGTACGTAATCTCTTCCAACCAACACAATCGTGATTCTAAATAAATACCAGTTTAGGCTTACTTGAGTTACTGAACATGAACTTGCTACGCGTAGGCTTTTTTTTTTTAAAACCGTTTTTTATTATATATATATATAATTAGAAACGATATTTTTTGTAATACGAATATTGTGTTGTAGGGTTGCCGATAAACGTGATAAAGTAGCGCCATTGCGCGATGTTTTTTTGTAATACGAATATTGTGTTGTAGGGTTGCCGATAAACGTGATAAAGTAGCGCCATTGCGCGATGTTTTTTGTAATACGAATATTGTGTTGTAGGATTGCCGATAAACGTGATAAAGTAGTGCCAATGCGTAATGTATGATGTACAGTGTTACGTCGATCAGAATCAGCTTTGAAAATATTCCGAAGAAAAAATAAGTTGTAGAAACTTCACAAGTGAGACTATTACAAAATGTACACATTATTATTGTTAGTTGAAGGTCAGTATTCTGTTCATAACCTTTCGTGTAAGTTACTAAGGAATCGTTCCAAACTGACAGCTCGTGTAAAATCGTAACTTAGAAGTTGTGTTGACGAAATGGATTGATTCTAATCTTTAGGAAGAGTTATAAAAGTAAATTTCGTATAGTGAACTATTTTATATTTTTCAGTTTATCATTAAATGTTATTTTTTCTACAAGTCTATATGTCATCGAGCAATCTAAAATAAAATTCAATTGAAAGCACCTTATATGACAGGAGTATGACTGAGAGTTCAAAATGGCCACTAATGTCAGAAAACGTTAATAAATTTGAAAAATGGCGTAAAGAATTGCAGAAAAAATTGACTAAAAATGTAGAAAAACCAAAAATATATTCATAGTTCATCTATGTATTATATATTTAGATTTGATATTTTTTTGGCAGAGTACACGATAGGTTTTAAAAGTCCGTTTGCTATTGATATTGTTGCGTCAGCGAGTCACATGACTAC